AGTTAATCAATATTACTACATTATAGTATTGTAAGAAAAAAAAAGTTTAGTTGATTAAACTTAAGTTTAACTATTGTAAAATTAATTAAAGTTGTGTGAAAAAAAAGATTGTATGTTAAGACCGTTCCCAATTTATTTAAAAACTACATAATAACCAATATTAATTATTAATTTTAAATGTAAGATGATCCTACTTTCATGGTTTCTCTTTTGAGTTTTGCTATTATGAACTCCTTTTTTTTCCTTTACCCTTCTTTGCAACTTTTTCCTATTAAAATAATTGGCATTGCGAATTATTGTTTCTTACATGATTTGTATTTTCTTTTGTATAAACACTTTTTGTGTATTCTATACCAAATCCATCATTTTGTAGATATTCAGATTCTTCAATTCTCACGTTTGTTGCTTTCTCTTTCAAATGGATTACTTTAATATGTTACTTTAAAAATGCTTTTGATGGAAAGTATTTACAGTATTTTTGGCATGCAAGATTATTATATAAATTTGAGGTAATGCTGGAACAATGTTCATCGTAGCCTAGTAGCTTTTCAAAATATTTCAAAGTATGAATTAGACTTAGAAAATGACCATCAAGACCTTGTATTAATGGTGGTAAAAAACCATTATTTGTGAATAAAAGATCATAAATTTTGGGACACGTGGTTGTCCACAACAATTTCGATCTTTACACTTTTTTAAATCAAGAGAATACTTGTAAATTTGGCTATACCTATCAATCCAATCTCACAATTCTTCATTTATATCTAAAAAATTTGAACAGTCATGCTTCTCAACATATGTGATAATAACTGAGTAACTATTTATATTATTATACCCCTAAAGTTCACAGAGACACTCACCCGCATGCTTAAAATTATGATATCTGAGTTTCTCATTCACAATGGTAACTTTTTCATCAACACTTCTAAGATGTTTACTATAGGCCTGTTCAATTCCGATTGATGCAATTTTTAATGCAAATTTGGAGCAGTATGATTGGCCAAAATTTTGCATCAAATTTGCATCGAATGCACCAACTTTTTTGTAGATGCACTTGATGCAAATTATTAAACAGCCAATTAAATTTATGTTACACCATTTTTTTTAGAAATCTCCTCATTCATCAAAAACGAACTTTAAATTTTATCGCGTTACAGATTTTTTTATTTTATAAGTACTTATCGTTATGGATAATATAACTAAAAATCAAAAACAACAACTTAAGAATTTGCCACCTTTACTTCCAAAATATCAGCAGGCAAATATTTTTAAAAAACGTGAAAATGTAGAATTTTCAAAATTATATAATAACGATAATATGGATTTATTTTCAAGAAATTATCTTCCTTCTAAAAATCTGAGTACTTCTTATTCAAGTTCTTTAATGATACCATATCCATATATTATTTCTCAACCCTCTCAACCACTTCAACAACTACAACAACAGTAACTGCTGCAACAACTACAACAGCAGCAACTGCCTCAACCGTCTCAACCTCTTCAATCTCTTAAAATTCAAAATTAACCTAATATGAAGGTATTATTTCATGAATTATTTTACTCTCTCAATCTCTATATATATATATATATTTAACACATCATTTTTTTTATTTAAGAACAGGTTTAATAATAATAATAATAATGCTGGTTCATCAAAAACAAAATCACAAGACAATAAAAAGAGAAAAGCATTAGTAGAAAATATTAAATAAGAATCATCTAAATGTGACGATTCTGAAATTACTTTACTTATTGCATATATTCAGGATAATGTTTCAACATGGTTTAGAAATAAAAGTAAGTTTTATGATTCAGTTTCAGCTAAAATTCTTCTTAAATTTTCTAGTGAACTAATAAAAAATAAATAGGAGAATTAATACGTCAATATAATAAGTTAAGCAAAAAAATAATCAAACTGGAGCTGCAAAAATAGACTGGAAATGATATGAACAACTGGATGAGATTTTAAGAACGCGTGAAACAACAAGTCCAAGTTTTGTATCTGATGGATCAATAATCGATATTGAATCTATGAAACAAGAAAAACAAGTTATTGAATCTAAAAACAAAAGATCTAAAACTTCAACTAACTCTATTAGAGATGCTATTTTAGCAATGAGTTTGGTGTGAGAAAAAATGTGGGAAAAAAAGTATGAATTACAAGAAAAAGAATTAAATTTTAGAAAGGAAAGAGCTAATCAAGAATTAGCAATTAAAAAGAATAAATTAGAAATTGAAAAATTAAAAGCACAAACAGAAGTTGAAAAACTTAAAGTTCAATTAGAACATGAAAGACAATTAAAAGAAATGGAATTTAAATATAATAATAAACAATAAAGGTTTTATTCATAATAAAGTTCATTATCAAACATTATATTATTTCTTTTGTATTGACCCGCTAATTTTAATTTATTATCATTAAAATCATTATTTTCTTGATTTTCGTTATCTACATCTAAATTTAAATTTAAATCTAAATCCCAAATATCTCCATTAAGTTCCAAAAAATTATGAAGAATTATAGCGCAATCAGCAAAAAGAATTAAATGTTTAACTTTTTTAACAGAGCATCCTTTTAAAGAAACAAATCTTGATTTTAATCTTCCAAAAGCACTTTCTACTACAACCCTATATTTTGAATGTATTAAATTAAATTTTTTTTGTTGTTGATTTGATGATAAATGAAAAGGTGTTATTAAAAATGGTGAAATTGGATATGCGGAATCTCTAAGTAAATAATCACAATTCATAATTTTATTTACAAAATTGAACAGAGTTGATGCATAGATTAATGGTATGAAATATTCTAAAATGTTTAAAAAACAAGAAATAGAAAATGCGTTCCTTTTAACAACTATTCAAGAATTTCTTTATGAAAGTGAAAGTGATTCTGAAAAAAACAGTGATTTTGAAGAAGAAACTGAAGTTAATGATTTAATTACCTTTAATTTACTTTTACTTTCAGAAACAAGATATTCTAATACCCGTTTATATAATATTCCAAAGTCTTCTCACTGGTATTATGAAGTTTTACCAACTTATGATGATAACCGTTTTAAAAAAATATTACGAATGCCATTTGAACATTTTAAAACTTTAGTTAATTTAATTTCTGATCATGAAAATTTTCAAACTAAAGGACAAAAAAAACAAGCATCAGTAGAATTACAATTAGCAGTTTTTTTATACAGAATTGAAGGTAAAAGTAATATTTTTAAAATATGTTCACGATTTGGTATTCCAGAAGGAACTGTAATTCTATATATAAAAAGAGTAATTAAAGTAATAATTTCAAAAAAATCATTATTTGTTCAATGGCCAAAAGGAGAATAGCGAAAATTAGTTCATAAAGGATTTCAATTAATTGGTGGATTTACAAATATAATTAGTGCTATTGATAGAACTCATTTAATTTTAAACGATAAACCTTCTAATTCTCTGGAATTATATTTTAATCAAAAAAAATGTTACTCAATTCAATGTTAAGGAATAGTAGATTTTCATGGAATTTTTATTAGTTATGATATAGGTTGGGCAGGTTCAGTACATGATGCAAAAGTTTATAAAAATTCAAGTTTTTATAAAAAAAAAAATGAATTAATTATCAATAATGATTGATTAATCACAATATGCATCAAAAAATGCATCAATCAGAATTGAACAGGCCTTATATGTAAATGCATCTAATTCAATTTCTGCCAACTTTTCAGAAAGTGATATCATACTCTGCTCAACTGGATGTGTTCAAACTGTAAGGTAATCTAAGTCGAGTTTTTTAAAAAGTAATATCTATTTTGAGATATTTGCAAGGAATTGGAGATTCTCGTCTGGTCCGCCATCCATCAATAAATACCAAATTGGTTTTACAGAGCCTTTATAGTGCGTAAATTCGTGAAAGAAATCTTCTTTTGTGAATGACATAAGGTTTATCAAATGTGTCTCGCATGATGTACCCAAAAAATGTTCTAGACGAACAAAAATTCTCATTTTATTAGAATGTAATGAATTATTGATATTAGAAAGGTCAATCATTAAGTAAACAGATGGTATTAGCTTGTGTTTTGCAGCCTTTAGAAAATCATGGTTGGAAACTGATACTGGTTCGTTAGTTATTTATATTGTTTTAAATGTTCTTCTAACTGTGACCATACCAAAAGGAACCTATAAAACTTTGAAATTAAAAACTTAAAACTTATATTAAAAGGAAAAAGTTATTAAATAAATACCTTGACTTTATCATTCTGAGAAATTACACAACTTCATCAGGAAAAGCCATCGTGATTGATTTAATACCTTTGACAGAAGCCAAACAATAGTGTTTATCAATGTGACTAGCCATCTCGTTTCTTTCAACAGATGCTAAACTAATTTACGCAAGATGATAGTGTTATTTTGCTTCTCTTATTCCTGAGTGCTTAGGTTGCATATAATTCTACATGGTCGATTTTGCCATATGAACACCATACTTCTCTTCCATTTCTTTACGAAGATGCTTAACAATTCGAATCTTAATTATTTTCTTGCATCTTTTATAGTCTGCAACTCCGAATTCGACACAATTATGCATTTTATCCAAAAGTTCAGGAACATTCATCAGAAATGATGGATGACCCGATGCATCATACATTTCAACAATATTTTCTTTATCTAATTTTTCCCACTTTTTATTTTGAGCTTATTGTTGAGCTTCCGCATTACTCTTTAGCTTCTTGAGCTTTTTTTCTTCAAATACAATTGTACCCTCAACCTGTTTAATTTTTGAAGTGAATTGTAAACGTAATTCCAGTGATATAGCTGTTTTTAATAGATTATTATATTCATATAAATTAGCTTTATTTTTTTGAAGATTTGTATGTAATTGTTTTTGTATCACTGTGTTTGGTGGAAAATTTTCAGTAGATATGGGGAGAGGTTCTAGAGGTTCTGGGATTCTAGAGGTTCTGGAGGTTCTGAATGTGGCTTTGGAGTATTTTTACAGATTTTTGTTGTAAAAAAAAAATTAGAAGATGAGGTTGAATTGGTATTTGTAATAATTCAAAAACATAGTTCTAAATAAATTCTTTGTTTTTTCATTTTATTTCTTGCTAGCTACTTTGAGCTCGTTCTTGCAGTTCCCTCTTGTTTGGTGTATCATTATAGGTATTTATCATTTTACAGAATGCGAAAGCATTCACAAACTCCTCATAAAGGTTTCTGGGTTTTCAGATGATATAATTTTTGGAATATTTTGATTCCTTGAAGTGACTTTATTTCATTATAATCATAAAATAATTAAGAAAAATAATCATATAAAAGCAACCGCGTAATTATCGTAAATTTTACATTTGCGATAATTATATTTTTTTTTTACATTTTTTTTAAAATTTTCAATCAAGAAAAAAAATCCTCTTTTATATGAGCCACATACAATTTTCAAAATTGTAATTCTATTTTATGCTAATTTTGAAATTGTACCGCTAAATTTTAAAATTGTATCACCAATTTTAATTATTTTAACTCTAAATTTCAGAATTGCAGAATTTTTAACAACCGATTTATCTAAAATAGTAAACTTCTTGCATAACGTCATTCTGTTGTAGGACTTTCACAAAAATGGTAAATTTCTTGCATCATGTTATTTCGTTGTAAGACCCCCAAAATGGAAATCGAAATTTGTGTAATGTCATTACCTCCCCCTCCTTTTATTAAATGACGTCATTTTTGACCATCCCCATAGAATTAATAAAAATCCTGTTTTAATTGATCCTAATTAATTTAAATAAATCATTAGTTTTAAAAATTAAATTTTTTTAGATATT